TTGAAATAAAAATAAAAATTAGAAAAGAGCTTGTTTATTAAAAGTGGAAATTTTATGTCTCCAAAATTTTCAATTTTGAAAATATTAACGGTAATTAATTTTGCAAGAAAAACCACGCAAGGTCAATTTTTTCGTGTTTAAGGTTTTCTCACACAAATTCGATTTTGAAAATATGAAATTATTGAGATTTTTTTTTATTTCTATGAGCCCATACACGTACAAAAGTTATGAGTCTTATAGATTAAAAAAAATGAAGAAATATTCGAAATAAGCCTGAATTTGTTTTGTTGTGTTAGATTTATTTGTTTATCATTTTTCTTAAAATGTTTAAAGAAAAAGAGAAATGTAATAGATTTTATTTTTATTTTACATCCTAACTAACAAGTTTACTTTAAAAATTATTTTAGCATGAAAAAGAAGAAATCCAAAAAAACAGTGGACAATGACAAAATTTCTCAGCTCACCCGGCCAACGCATAATTTCCGTAAGGGAAGAGTTTTTAACAATCAAGTGGATAAAGCGATCCAGACCGATCTTTACGATCTGGATTAAATGAAACTTGATGAAAATGCATTCACCATCTGCAACATTTCGCAGCTCGCCCAGCAGGAGGCAGAATTGAGCCAGGGAAGAGTTTATGCCCATTGATTGAATCAAGAACAAAAAACTGACTATGATGAATTTAAAGAAATGGAACTCGAAACAAATGCACCGAACATCTGCAGTAGTTCACAGCTCGCCCCGCTATTAACAGAATTAAGCGAGGGAAGAGTTAATCAAAAGATAATTGAGATCCAGACTGACACAGACGAATTAAATCTTGAAGAAAATGTTCAAGGAAATTCCAAGGAAAAGGAAATTATTGAAAATGCGCCTAACATCAGCGATTTTTCACAACTCACCCCACTTCAAAAAGAACTGAGTGAGGGAAGAGTTTGCTTTGTTAATGAGATGAATACAGAGAACATGACCAACTTTGACCTACCCACAGAACATGAAACACAAGAAATTGTGCCAAACACCGGTAATTTTTCACAGCTCGTCCCACTCCGAATAGAATTGAGTGAGGAAAGAGTTTACTTTGTTAATCACATGAATTCAGAGGACAACATCAACTCTGACATTGGACGGGAAAAGAACATTCCTAACCCCTACTTTCTTTCACTGCTCGCCCTGATCCGGAAGGAAGTGAGTCGGAGAAGAGTTAAGTATATAAATGAAATGGACACAGAGAACAAGACCAATTCTGATATACCCACAGAATTAGAAAGTGAAGAAAATGCGACTAACAACTGCAATATTCTTCAACTTTACCCCCAACAACTGGATGGAGAACCTAGTGTAGACCAAATGAATATAGAGAATAAGATCGACTCTGGCGAAATGAAACGTGATGAAAATTCAACTGACATCTACAATGTTTCACAGCTCACCCCGTTTCCCCTACACCTGAGCGAGGGAAGAGCTTCTAGCAGCCAAGAGAACTCTAATATTGACACATGGAAGGACTTAAAAAACAACCATTACTCATACATTCAGAGTTGTTTGTTTGATACCACCAGAGCAGCTGAACAAATAGCTGAATATAACATCAAAATTGATCCGGACGATCTAAAATTAGAACCATTAAGTGTGAGAGAAGAGGAATCGAGTGTTGAAGAACTCACTCCACCTGAAAAGAACTACATCAAGAGAAAGTGGCGACTTCTAAAGAAAGTTTTACGACAAAAAAAATCCAAGAATACAAAAGATCCAGCTCAAAAACGGGGCTTCTAAATTTTTTAAGTGTTATTTATTTATTTCTGCAATTCATTGTTTTTTCCGGTTAAATGTAAATGCTAAATTTTCATGCTGGTAAAATATATTTATGCACAGGAGCAATTTCAGAACAAAACCAATAAATAGTTACTACTTGAAACCAATCACAATAGAAATAAGCTGAATATCTGAAGTTTAGAATTGAAGAAAATTAAATAAAATGTTAAAAACTGATTCTGAAAGTGCAATTTGAACAAATCTGCTATATTTGGAGCAATATCGAACTTACATCCACATTTAGAACAAAACCAGCAAAGAGCTACTTTTTAAAACCAATCACAATAGAAATAAACTGAACGACAGAAGTTTAAAATTGAAGAAAATAAAATCGAGCGTCAAAAACTGTCTCTGGGAGTGCAATTTGAACCAATCTGCAAAATTTGAGACAACAACTAACTGACATCTACATTTATTGTCATGCATATGTTTTTACGGAAACATAGCCTTTAAAAAGATATTTAAATCAATAATTTACAGTAATTGTACTTATTAGTACTTCTTCAAAAATTTGCTAAGCGTTACGGGTAGTTGTATACCGTTGGTGGTAGTAATATACCTGACGTTTAAGCAGTTAGTTAACAGCATATGATTGGAGCAGTCGTAGGTATTTTTTTACCTATGCCGTAAAAAAAAAGACAGCTTGAAGTTTGAAGAGAAAGAAGGAAGTAAAAGTTTAAAAGAGGAGAGCGCTAAGAGGAAAAATTGCAGCCTTGACGACATCATATTTTCTCTAAAAATAAAACGGAAAAGAAAAATATCAATGAAATAAACAGAAACAGATTGAAAGTGGAAAAAGAAGAATATCAATAGAATAATCAGAAACAGATCGAAAATAGAAAAAAGGAATATCAATAAAATAATCGGACACAGATTGAAAATAGAAAGGAAGAATATCAATAAAATAATCAGAAACAGATCGAAAATAGAAAAAAAGAATAGCAATGAAATAATCAGAAATAGATTGAAAGTGGAAAAATATTTTACAGATGCATCCATAGAGCAATAAAAATAATTATATTCCGACAATAGCTCTGTACAGTATTCAAAGTTCTACAAGAACAGTAAAATTCAAAAATCAACCAAAAAAATTTAAAAAAATTAAAAATTGTCGGCGTATCGTCCCCCCCTTGTCTCTTACAAAAAAAGTAAAAAATTATGAAAACCAAAATAAAAAAATGAATAACTGGGAAAATGTTACACAATATGTATTGTAGAACAAAAAAAAAATTATAATTTGCAAATGTTATTTTCACTATGTAATAATTTGGCCAATAAATATTTCAAAATTTATATGTATCGTGACTCATTTTGTTTTACTATTCTATTTTCCGTGAAGTGTAGAGGATTAAAGTTGTAGTATCTAAGTTCATAACAGTTAATACTTGATAATATGATAACTTCTTTTGCTTCAAAAAATATGAATATCATAATAAAAATCAGCATTTTAGGAGAGCTCAAATATAGTAATCTCAAGACTTGCTAGACGATCGCGAGGAAAACAAACAAATTTTAATAAGATAATATTATTTTGCCAAGGCAAAAGGGAAAATAAAAGTGAAAAATAAAACTACAAAAACTGTGTCCGCGAGTGAAACAGAAATGAAAAATAAATAAAGATTAAAACAAACTCATATACCATTATATGTATTCAAAAATATCTCTTTTAGTAAATGCATTTTTTGTAGTTTTGTAACCTAACTCCCATGCCCATTATCTAATACGAAAAACCTAACCTAACTAAACTCTATTGTACAGTTAAATTTCATTGCTTCGGTTTTGAAACCATGCTAGGAAGTAAATATTTACAAAACCGTAATCAGGAGTTTGGCAAAAATCACGAGTTGTAGCGAGTTTTGTAATCACGTTTTATTAACCCTACCAGTTGTAAATGGTTAAAAAAACCGCCAAGGTAAAGAAATGTTTCTAATCGTAAACTTTACGGTTAATTGAATAGAGATACTGTTGCCACTTATTTTGCTGTTATTTTATTTGTTCGAAATATCAGCAACTGTTTCTCTTCGCTGAGAAAAAAATTGGTTATAATTAAGAGTGATTCATACTTGTACCAATCAGATCATTTGTATTTTATGATGTTTTAATTCTTTGTGAGAACGTTTACGATTCTTAATAAAAAAAAGGCGAAAATGGAGATGAAGAGAATATTCTGACAGAATTTTTCATTGATGGAACAGATAGTTTAAGAAATGCAAAAACAACTTCTTTTCTTTTAAAAAGAAACTTTTTTAGTATTATAATACTTTCTATTGTCAGATGGTTAACTCAATCCATACCACCCATCATTGTACTGGCGGAAAGTGCTGTAAACTATTTTCTAGTTAAATTTCTTGTTTAAAGTTCGTTCTAAATTAATAAAATTAAGATTCATCATAATTTGTTTCGACTGCTATAGCTGAAAATAATGTCTGTTTTTATATAGTTAATGATTTCTTTTGGCAAAGAGACTCCATATAAAAATTTTCTCCAAAAGCAACTCGCTAAATTTCATTGCATCATTTTTTAACATGTAAAGTATAAAGTAATGGTAGTAATTTTTATAGTTAAGTTTTAATCGTTCCTTTTAGTTTTTATTTGCGTTGGTTGTAAAGAAAAGCTTTCAATTATTTCAAAGGAATTCTTTTAATTTTTATTTTATTTAAATCCCTTCTAACAATTCTTGCTTTTGAAAACTTTTCATAAAATAATATCAAGACAGCTAGAAGCCGAATAACTTAAAGAAACTTTTGCATCCTTTTAAAAATATCTTTGCTTGCTGAACTGTTACCTCATTTTCCGATAATTATTTAAAAAGTTTAAAGAGAGATATTAACATAGTTTACGAAATTTTTTTTTTTAAAAATACATATTTTACAATTTAGACTCTTCTATTGATCTACTGTTTTATTTATTTTCCTATTTTTTTATATTTCTTCCCTTTTTGTTTTACTCAGTTATAATTTACTTAATATTTTGTCTATTATCATTTAAAGTTAACAAGCATTTAACAGTTGGTACTTAACTTTTACGGAATGGGAGAAAGTATGTGCGTGTTTGCATTACTAATTTTTCAATGTAGTTTCATTTTCAATGGAGCAAAAAATGTGTTAGAAATATTTTTAATGTTTCTTGAAAGAAAGAAATTTCAATGCAATCATAAAAATTTTACAAAACCAATTATATTTCCCATATTCCATTGGTATCTTACTATATATAATATGGAATAATCCTATAATAACAAGCAGGATATTTGCCAGACTTAGTATACATTTTTAAAGATCATCTTGTGGTTTAACTAATTTCAAATTAATGGCATTTCATAATTGATATTTTAATATTAATGGGTTGGCAGTATATTATCATTAAAGTGCTTTTTTCTTTTATTTCAAATCTTGTATAGCCCTGCTAGATTAGAGCTCTGCTTGTACATATCACCAAGAGTTTAGGAATGAAACATTCTACTTTCGATTCGTGTATTTCTTAAAACAGCAAGAATACGAATTCGGGAATTTCTAACTTCCAAGTAATCCGAATCGATATTACTTACTGAAAAATACAAATGAAAAAAAAATATGTAAAGAGTATACAAAACTCAGATTTGAGTACAAAAAATGTTATCATATAAATGTGAGATTTTATAACTCATGTAAATACGAATCCAACAAAGCGTATCCTAAAAAATATGTCTCACATATGCTTGCTATTTGTTAATTACTTAAATAAGACTTGCTGCACAACGTCGGAAAGTGATCCCCAAATAGCATTATTAGTTCCCAGTCGCATTACTATGCAGCACCAGAAATAAAAATTAAAAATGAATAAAGTGCTTTATATTTTCAAAAATAAATATTTTATTTATACAGTCCTATTTTACATTATGTTTAAAAGTTAATAATTTATAAAATAGTTTTTCCTAATCCTAAGCTCAAAGAAGTAGATTTATAGCCTAGGTCGTATGAAGATCAAAGCAAACCATGCCCTGAAGCTAAAGGAGCTTCGATAAGCCCGAGACCAGCAACGAGTCCATGACTACCGTATCCAATGGCAGCGGGAGCAGCAACAGGGACAGCGGCCACATGATGACTGACGAGAGCAACATGGTTAATAACAGCTTTTTGAGTAGCAACTGTTGCGGGAGCGGCGTGGATTCCCTTAACAGGTAGAACAGGCATAGCGTGTAATCCGTGACCTATTACAGCAGGAGCACCATGAGCAACTGCAGCAACGTGGTTGATGACAGCCTTTTGTGCAGCAATGGTGGAAGGAGCGGCCGCAATGCCATGTCCAGCAACTAAACCATGACCAGCGTAATTAATTGCTAAGGGAGCACCATGAGCAACTGGGGCGACGTGGTTGATGACAGCCTTTTGTGTAGCAATGGTGGAAGGAGCTGCTGCAATGCCATGTCCAGCAACTAAACCATGACCAGCGTAATTAATTGCTAAGGGAGCACCATGAGCAACTGGGGCAACGTGGTTGATGACAGCCTTTTGTGTAGCAATGGTGGAAGGAGCGACTGCAATGCCATGTCCAGCAACTAAACCATGACCAGCATAACCAACTGCAGCGTGAGCACCATGAGCAACTGCGGCAACGTGGTTGATGACAGCCTTTTGTGAAGCAATGGTTGCAGGAGCAACTGCAATGCCATGTCCAGCAACTAAACCATGACCAGCATAACCAACTGCAGCGGGAGAACCATGAACAACTGGAGCAACGTGGTTAATGACAGCCTTTTGAGTAGATAAGGTGGCGGGAGCAACCAAAACAGATTTAGTAGCGATGCCATGGAGGCCAGAACTGATTAATGGAGCACCTAAACCAACATGGCTGACTATGCTGGAAGTCTGAACAGCAACCACAGCGAAAAAAAGAACAACAACCTGAAGGAGAAAAGAGAATTAGTGACGCAATAGCTTAGTTTAAAAATAATTATTTTTCAAAATTTGATGGTTTTGAATATTCTGCTAAGCTTCTGCGTTTAAAACAAAATAGTTCTTTCGAGTTTAAAATTGGTACCAGGAAAATTGAACAAAACTGTTCTAAAATCACCAATCAATTTAGTTTCACTATCCGAATATTAATTTTAAATGTTTAGAAATTATTTATTATTCCATAATCAGTTACAGTATGAACTTTCACATCACGTGGAAGATTAAACAAAATTTTAGCGTTTTTAAATTAACAATGACAATGAGTTCAACAATTACGAATTTGATAAAATTTTATTTCTTTCTTTGAATTATGCTCCTCATTAAAAAAAATACAGTTTATGAGCAAAAGATTCAATAAGTTAAACAATTTTTAACTCATATTTTTATTAGTTACAAATATTTTCACATTTTCATTTAAATAATGAGTACAGATAATTTACAGATAAATAAATCATTTACAGATAATTAAAGACTTTCAAGTCATTGTGAAAAATAATAAGAAATTTTACAGTCACATTTTTGCTAAGAACTACGCTAAAATAAGTTCTTAATTTATAAAATTTATATCATCTATATATTGTTTAATAAAATTTATAAGATATAAAAAGCTTTGAAATTGTAATTAAATTGAAAATTACAAATTTTCATTACCATTTAATTACTATTATCAACGAGTATTCAATGTTCTATTGCAGCAGTAGATAAACTAGATGAGGTGCAATAATTGTATCTTAGGTACAATAACGAATTTAATTTTAAAAGGTGAAAATGCTTGAAATCGTAAACATAATGAATTTACTACATATGAACTTACCTTAGAGAAAATTTTTACATTTTAAATTGTTAGGGGTGAATATTAGGAGAAGAATATGGCTTGATTAAATCATGAACTTAACGACATTTTAATGTTTTAAATTGTTAAGGTTGAATGTTAAGTGGCGAATATGGTTTGAATGAATCATGAACTTAACGAACAGTTAAACGTTTTAAATTGAATGTAATGAGAAAAAATGTTACGAGGTTGAAAATTAGAAGAGAAATATAGTTTAAATGAATCATGAACTTACCTTAACGAACATGATTAGTAATTGATGAAGTTTATTAGAACTAATGAACTATTAACATCGCCTGGTTGCTTTTAAATACGATTTCAATCCTGCTATTTGAAAAAAAAAAGAAATAAATTCAGTTTATTTCTTTCTTAAAAAATATTTATTTATTTATTTCTTAAAAAAGAAATAAATCCCGCTATTGTACCTGGTGAAAGTACGTCCTTGCTCAACATTAAAACTTGTCCACGCCCATGCAAAGCGTTGAGATTGAATTAAATATGCGATCCATTTTTCCTCGATCTCCTTTTGCGTTACTATTTATTATTATTTTTTATGCGTAATCTATATGGTTGATGATATTGATAGCCGGAGGATAGATATACTTGAAGGATACGTATTGAATAATTTTAATTTATTGAACCATTTCTTTTAAAGATTAACGGAAATTAAATAACATTATTAGAAGCTGATTTAAAGCGTTATTATTATTTTTATAATTTTAATTAGTTATGCATTTGATTTAAAGAGTAATTATAGTTATAACGAAGAGGTAATTGTAGTCAGTTATGAGGTTATTTCAAAGCAAATTCCTGTTAGCGATATAGTTACAATATACTGAAAAAAAAATTATGAAAACTAACAGAATATGGTAAAATTTACCGTGTTTTTGGCTTCTATGAGAACGCCAAAAAGCTCGGAAATTTTAATCGAGCTTAGGAGTGATCATCGTAAAATTAACAATAAAATGTGGTTTTATAATCTATGATATAATATGGCAAATGTGTTGAAATTTGGTTATTTTATCATGCTATCTTAGATTATGGCATAAAAACTATTTAATTGGATACATTTACTTTTCAGTTTTGTATTTTTTTCTAAAAGTCTGGTAATAAGAGCTATCATTTTGAAAACCAGAGTTTCCGGTAAACCGTTTCCATATGAACGGAAAAACTACTTAATGACTGGTTTATATATCGTATAATTATTTTTAAAACCAGAATTATGTTTTTTTTTCTAGAAATATCATTACAAAGAATTCTGGTAGAGTAATTCTGCCAGAATTTTTTTCCCCGTGTGAAGTAAAATCATTATTAGTGATTTAGAAATTTCAAAATGAAATTGTTGTTAGTGTAGAGGTTAGTGAAATTGTAGTTAGAGGTTTAGCTATGTCAAAGTGTGATTGAAATTAGCGTAGAGGATATTTCAAAGTTCAATTGTAGTTATTACAGTTGTTTCAAAGTGTATTGATGTTAGTGATGCAGCTATAATGAAGTGAGTTTTCAAGTAATCTAGTTAGTTCAAAGTGTAATTATAGTTAGTGTAGCATTTGTTTAAAAATGCAATTGAAGTTAGTGATACAGCTAATTCAAAGTGCTTCTGTTGTTAGTGATTTATTTATTCATTTGAAAATGTGATTGAAGTTAGAGATTTATACATTTGAAAGTGCAATTTACACTAGTGATGTAGTTACGCCAAAGTATAATTGCACTTAATGGTAAAATTATAACAAAGTGTAATTGTAGTAGCGATGGAGTTATTTAAAAGATTCGTTCAAAGGAACAACGTGATTTTAATTAGTTTTAGGGTGATTGCGCAACTATTAGAAACAAATAAAAGAAAGTAAGTTCTGATACATTTTTTTATGAATAAAACAAAATTATCATTTTCGTATACACAATTGGTATTGAAATATTTTAGGCATAGATATATTTCTGACAAATATTTTAATTAATTTTATGCGTTACGTGTGAGACAAAACAAGTATATCTTAATCCATATTGGTTTCTTTTAACAGTAAAAACTGAATATGAAAAGGAACAACGTGATTTTAATTAGTTTTAGGGTGATTGCGCAACTATTAGAAACAAATAAAAAAAAGTAAGTTCTCATAAATTTTTTTTATGAATAAAACAAAATTATCATTTTCGTATACACAATTAGTATTGAAATATTTTAGGCATAGATATATTTTCGACAAATATTTTAATTAATTTTATGCGTTACGTGTGAGACAAAACAAGTATTTCCTAATTGATATTGGTTTCTTTTTACAGAAAAAACTGAATATAACAAAAAACAAGGAAAATTTTGCAGTAAATATAAATAGTTTCATCTAATAAAGCTAAAAGTTTTGTAATATATTTATATCAAAATTAATTTATATATTTCCAATAAAGAATGCTAGTTAAAATAAAAAATTTCAAATATCAAATTGAAATCCCTAAGAAGTAAGCCATATCTTGCATATCTATAGGGTGATTCTGAAATAATGGGGAAGCTTTGAAGGGAGTGAAGGGCTTTGTCACATGAATGTCATTGTATATCATCGACAGAAATGTCAATGCTTCCAGGGGCGCTTCCGTGTTATGAATTGTTTCTAAGTGTGCCTTTGAAGAGATAATTTTATTTATGTATACTATCTTGATTCTGTTAGTTTTTTTTATTTATTAAAAACTGTCAATACTTACATTCAAATAATAGACTCAGAAATTGCTGTATCATCGTAATTTAATGATTTGGCGAACTTGTGCAGTTAGTCGCCAAATAATTACACTTATTTTGATAAAACAGATAACGCTGTACCAATTTAAATGCGAATTCCGACACTCAGAATTTTCATTCTAAAATTACGGTAAAATGAGCGGCAGCAGTCTGTCCATCTAATTAACAGTGAAGCTCACAGAAAAAAAAAATTTTCTTCACTTTTATCGTTTTGAAACTGTTTACAACTTGTATGGTTAAAAAATCCAGAAATACAAAACTGTACGGTTTTTTAACCATTTACAAATATAATCGTAATAATGATGATTTCCAAAAGTGCGAAAAAGAAATTTAAATCGGTGGTAGGCTTTTCGTTGGTTAATGGGCATTGGAGTTAGGTTGTGGCTGAGATGTGTTTTATCAAATAAAAAATGGAATGTGGTTTAATTAGTTTATCTAGTTGTTTCACCTATCGTGAGAGATGGGAAATCAGTTTTTGCAGCAGAGTATTTTGTATTAAGCAACTTTATAGTGCTGGGATCTATGCATGAAAGAGAGTGTCATATTCTTATAGTCCAGGGTCGCAAATTTGGGAATGCAGGACTCTGAAAACTTTTCATGTGTTTCAGAGAATAGTGGATATATTGTGGTGTCAACGATGGGACTCGAACTCCCATTCTTTCGGCCATGAAATTAACAGATTAACGAGAGATAGCCCTCTCGGCTACAATTATGTACTCAGCTGCAAGGAACTAAGTGGCTTCATAAGTTCGGATTAGTTGGTGAGATGAGATTCTGGTTGTTTAACCGTATTAGATGAAAGCAGTTAATAAACGATTTTTCTCAAAGTTAACAGTTTGAATACCATCTTATTTACGGTTATTTGACTGTTTTGCTTGAGTATGGTAAAATAGAAATTAAATAAATTGTTACTTAACCATTTTCCCGAGAAATTTCTAATATAGGGGAATAATTATTAGAAAATATTTAAATTAAAAAAAATATTGATAAATAAAAGTATCTGTTCAGAGGTACACGCAAAAATAGATCATAATAAGGGTTCGCCCCTAGTGTCGCCTGATAACATTTCCTGTCATGGATTCCCATGCAACTCTTAATCCTTATGATGTACCTCTGAGTTTGTTCCATGATTTCAAAATCAACCACAGTAGAATTGTTTCCATGATTACAAATCGCTAATTAATATCAAACCCTTCATTAGTTGTTGAATTTTGATATTGATTTTAATTGAATAATTCATGTTTAATTTAACAGAGAAAAATATAATTAAAAAATTAAAACATTTGATTGGAAAATACAAGTAAGAAAAAAGAAACGTATTATTATTAATGATGATTTTTCCAATTTTTGCATTACACATTTTAATTTTAAAGGGTTTGTAAAGCAAATTTTCTACATGAAACAAATTCTTTTTTAGCAAAATGTGCGCAAAATAGACAATTTTATCTGTAAATCAGGATTATCGACTAGTTTAATGGATTTGTCGAAAAGCATTCGTGAATTAGATTCTTTAATTATATTTTGACATTTTGTGTTTTTATTTATACTCTTTTCAATTTCCAACATCAACAAACATCCGAAATTCTCCCATATTTAAAGTAATGCAGCAATAAGTAAATTTTGAAAGCTTTTTATGAGGATCAGTGTTGAAACAACTAATTTCAAAATGTTGGCAAATCAATTATTCAATTTTCGGCATATTTTTAAGACCATAATTTGATTAAATATTGTAGTAAAAAAATAGGTAAACGATTGTTTTGCTTCAAATGTACTTATTCCACTTTCGAAAATAGTGGCTCATATGTCTTCCTGATACAAAAATAATAAAGCTTATCCTACTAAATTTTTCCTCAGTTTTTTGCTCCTCAGATATGTTTTGACCTTTTTTAAACAAAATTTCTTCCCTATTTTTTTTTTTTTGTACACTTGAAACTGAGAAATGGAAAAAGGTTGATTCAGACCCCTTGCCTACATTGTAGACATTTTAACATTTAGGAAATTGTTAGGAATTGTTTAGGACGTTGTTGACATTTAGGAAAAAATATTCTTTTTTTTTTGTACATTACTAAGTGCTTCTGGATTCCAGGACTGAAGAGCAAATGTTTATGCATTGAAAGTAATGAAAAAACAAAAACAACGTATAACCGATAATTTGTATTTTTCCATGGTATACTCGAATTATTTTAACATCGCATGTATTAATAATGTACATGAAAGGCAATGAAACGATGTATTAAGCTTAGATGAAGAACGTATGAACAGGGCTGTACTGTGTAAGAAATAAGAAAAACAATACTTAATTATTCATTTTATTAAAATTGCAAAGTGATGTGTTGAATTTATTTTTAAACAATGTTATACACTATAAAATTTATAAATGCATAGCATATTAAATTATAACTTAAGCATGATGTTGTCTTGCTAGTAATAATAAATTATTTATTGTATGTAAACAAACATATAAACCAAATTATACCTTAAATATGATGTTGTTTTGCCAATAATTATAAATTGAAAAAAAAAAAGCAAAAAAACTAAATGTTTATTTCTAACTATTTTGTAAATTAAGTTTTTTAATTCCTGTAGTTGATTTTATGGAAAAATCTCAAAGCTATTTTATAGTAAAGATAATTTTCTGAACAATTGGAAAAGGCTAGCACATAGCTTTACGAATCTTTATTTTATTTCTAATATGCCAAATAATTATTTCTAAAGTTAAATACATATATATAATGTCTAATAATGCCTAATAATTATTATAATAATTATGTCTGATAATTATTTCTCACATTAATAATTATTTCACACATTAAATTTGTTACATTTATTAAATATAACTTATTTTACTTCATTAAATATTCATTATTTAAAGCATTTTTGAAAAAAAAAAATGTAATTGCCATTCAAACGTTCATGCATATCATTTTAAGGAATTAATCACTAATATTATTACTTTAAATTACCACGGTATCTTCAGATGGTTTTTTTAAATCTCACAATTGAAAAAAAAAAGAAAAAAGAAAAAGCATTTGGAAATGAATGATCTCATTTTTTTCTAAACATCTCGAATCTTAATTCCTATCAAAATTACAAAACTTATTTGAGAGTACGCCCCTAAAATAAATAGTAAACAATTATTTTTCTGTTTCTTGATTACAGGTCTTTATTGCATAAAGGATTTATTTCACTCTTTTTTTAAACATCATTGTATAAAATTCAAATAAAACTTAAGTGATTTAAAGCTCTTAAGAACTATTTTTAAATACATATTTGCAATATTTGCTACATTTATGCTAGATTAAGCTGAATTTGTATAGTAATTATCTTTACCTGACTACTTTGTACAGTAGATACAGTAGAAGTAGATACAGTACTACAGATTGACTACAGTATATATGAAGAATGTGCTGTAGATTTATTCCTGAAATTCCTCTATCAAGATAGTTGTCCATTACTCGGGACGAAATTTTGCTGATAAGGACGAGAACTGTAAGAAACCATAAAATACTAATTTATTTTTCAATTCTTAGGTGGGTTTGTTCCTGTTTATTAAAGCTTTTTTTTTAAAAAAAAATTATGCATAATTTATAAATTATGAATTATAAAAAATTGGCTTGTTTATACAAAAATGGGGCGTAACTATAATAAATATTAAAACTTTAAACTGAATGCATTTAGGTTTCATATAGTAAAGAATGCATTAAAATCAGTCTCTGTAAGTTCCGAAAAAATTAGTTTCCGTGAGTTACTTTTTTGGAAATATCTTTAAAAAGAACCGTGTATCATGGGATTGAAATGTATTTTTCGATATTCCGTATTTGTCATTTATTAAGATTTTGAAATAAAATATTGAGTTTTAAGAACTAATTTTTTGTCTTCTAACTTAAGAGAAAACATGTTATATAATAGAAAATTTAGAAACTCTTTATTTCATTATTTTACAATTGTCGTTATAATTTTTGGCTATTTGCATCTTCTATATTCCATTTAAAACCTTTTATTCAGAAGTATTTAAGTCTAGTCACAGGCGTATTTTAATTAACGAATCAAATAAAAATATCCATACTAAATAAGAAACACTAAAAGAATTTGACCTATTTAACAAGTAAATCATGTAGTCAACTTGTCATTTTACGCATTTTATTTTTGATAGATATTTTGGGTTTTATTTTGCCTGTTTATTTATTAATTTTTATTAAAGTACATAAATTTAAATTTAAGTTAAAATAAAAATATTTTAAAAAATACTAAAAAAATAAAGTCATACAAAAAACAGAATATTCTATTTCATTTCATTGATTTTGATAAATCATTACACTCCTACGATAATTAAATATTTTCTTAACTACTTAATTGATTTCGAATTAGTTAGCGACGTTCGCCAAGGACTTGAAGCTTGTTCTGTTTCCTCGAATAGTGTAGTGAGCAGATTTTTATCTAATTTAAATAGGAATTTCTCCAATGTCAATCACTAATTATTATAGAATTTTTTTTATTAAATTTCATGGAGAAATATGGGAAATTTGTTTATGTAGGCTTTCAGGAGTGTTTTTGTTTGCTTTTCTCATTAAGTATATAAGCATAAGAAAAATACCTCATTCGTAGTATCAGACTGATTCCTGCGTAAACATGTTCTCAAAGGTAAGAGTTACTGTTTTATAATTATTACAGCTTTTTATTAGTCTTTTACGTTCTTCTGATTCAAACTATAACGAAAGTGACAATCTTAGGATAAATATAAAATAACGTGAAGTTATTGGAAGTTAATTATTCTTTCAGTAAAAATTGTTAAAATAAGGTTTAGGTTGCTTGTTACTATTAAAACTAGTGTTCAACAAATGTATATCACTCGCAATAACTAGGGATAATTTATTTTACCTTAAGAATTACTATAGCAGATGCCTGCGCATTTAATAGTACATATTTTATAAACTAATAATTAATCGAAGAATTTTTATATAAAAATATCATTTTTTCTGCACTGACAATTAAAAAAAGTACTGTCAAAACTGAAAAAAATTTGTCAAATTTACATCCTTCTGGCTGTCTGGGAACACCAAATATCTCGGTAATTTTTACAAAAGTGCTTTGGTACTGATTGTGATAAAATTAATAATACAACTTGATTTATAATGCGTGATAAAATTTGGTAAATGATATAAAATTTTATTATGATTCCCTAAAGGGTAACATAAATACCATTTATTTGGTTAGATATTTCTTTTCATTTTTGTATAGTAATAAAAATTTTGAATAACAGAATTTTCGGAAAATCGCTACTATGTGAATTGAAAAATTATCAAAGGAAGGGTTTAAGTACTGCATATTTTAGTTTAATAGCCAGAATTTGGGTTTATTCTACCAGAAATGTCATTACTATTTAGAACGGCAATGTTACTAGAATTATTTTCTCATTGTAAATTGATTTTACATAAAATCTTTAAAAAATAAAAGTAACGATAAAAGGAGTTTACAATTTGCACACAAATCATGGCGGCATTTTCGGTGGGTTTTATAATCTCGTTTTTATTACTGTTAAATTAAGTCGCAGCGGCACATAGGTTAAGGCAATGAACAGTTTTCGTCAAATCACAATAAAAGTTAATGTTAAACGTCAAACTTCAAGAGCTAGAGGTCAAGCTAATTTGACTTAGTTTTGTGACCTAACTTCAGATTGATGGGTACTAGTCTGTATGGAAAGTAAAACGGACAGCGTGTAATGTTGAACATATTTTCATCACCGTGCCATTGATCACGGATTTCAGGAACCTTATCCCTCAACTACTCCTTTGGCTAATGAATTGTTGTTACTGGCGTGTTTTACTTTTTAAAATATATTGACTTTTTTTGCAAGCAAAATATGAGAACTTGTTTTTTTTAGAACCTATAAATAATGCACTTGATCTTTTTTAAAAAAAAATAATGATTGCGCAGGTTCAAAAATATTTTATTAAGCAATAAAATATACTAGCTAAAACTGTAATAAGTTTTGTTTAGTCAATAACTCTACAAGTACGTTTTAAAAAAAATTGACCGTTTATTTTTTAAATTCCAGAATTCTTATTTCGGAAGAGTCTTAAGTGAAATATCTTTAAATGCTTTGATTTTTTGAGAAAGTGATGTAACGATAAAGTTTAGTCAAACAGTATTTTAAATTTTCTGTTATTTTAGAAAGCTTATAATACTAGAGAGATAAACGTGGCACAGCAATATGCAAAGCAAAAATTTTTAATTCCTTTTAGTCATTTTTCATCAGTAAAGAAATTTTAAATATGACTGATTAAAACTAATGTTTTTATTTTAAATTAAGGGCTTTTTGATTATTTCTACGAGACAATTAAAAATATACAATTTTCATAGTTGACTGCATCAAATTTTGCAATTTTTACCCTCAAACTAATTGAAAAAGTACTTGTACTCATATTCAAGCATACTTGATATGTTGATTATTTTTACATAGAAAATACAAGGGATGCCAGAAACCGAATTTGTTGTTGTTTCCCAATGATCTTATTATTGTTCAATAAATAAGTACTAACTGATCTATTTTTAATATATATAAACATATATTTTCTTTTCTTTAGGTAGCTGCTTTTTGTTTAGTCCTTGGAGTTGCCAACGCCAGTCTATTGGCTCCAGTTCATTTGATTAACACTGGAGTGAGTGCTCGCTCCCAAGTACAAGATGTAAGTTTAGTAATGATTTTTTTTATGATCGAGGTCATTTGTACATTCGAACAAATAAACTTGAAAAGAAATAACAGCTATCCGTAAAAGTTTTATGTTACTTTCAAATAAAAGAGGCAATCTTTGGCTTCCATACATTAACATATGCTGTTTATAGATCCATATCTCTTCAAATTGTGATATTACAATTTGTGATAACTGCATTTAGAAAATCCTTAAATCATAATAATGTTGTGCTATTGGCTCCAATTCATTTGATTAACACCGGGGTGAACGCTCGTTCTCAAGTACAAGATGTAAGTTTAGTAATTACTTTTTTTTTTTTTATAAAGGGGGTTATTGTTCAGTCGAATTAGTAGGCTTAATAAAGAAATAACATATATACATAAAAATTTAATAATGCTTTCAATTAGCAACGTGATTGCAGATATTTATATTTTGTAAAAACATACGATAATTTGAATAATTGATATACTTTACTATCCTGACAATTTTTAAATACATTTATTCTCTTTTGCTTTATTAATCAAAATTTTGTACTCAGATTAAGAACAAATTCGTCATTGTTTATGATAACAAAATAAATTAGTACATAAAAATGTAGCAGTAATAATATGTAATCGTAAAAATAAAATGTAATAATATAATGATAAACTATAATAGGGTTGTTAAGAATGCCTGTTTATTCCTTTTAATTTATTTACTTCATTTCATAAACTTTTTTCTTATTTAATATAGTTTAATAAATTAAATTTCACATTTTCAAAACTATTTTTTCGTCTGTATGAAAAAGGAATATTTCTTTTTACAAAACGCTTTATTAATACACTTTATTAATAAAAAGTTTTATTATTAAAATGAATTTCTACTGTCTGCCTTTTTTTATAAATCAATATATTGTTATGCAAATTTTTAATTCAGCCTAAGTATTAAGTAAAATTTCAATTAACATAAAATTTCTCTTCTAGAAACATGGAAACTATGCTTTCGGATATGACATTAAGGACGGTAAAGGCGCCACCAACTCCAGATCAGAAGTAGGAGATGCTCATGGAAACAAGAAGGGATCATACACTCTCGCTGACATCGATGGACGAGCAAGAAAGGTTGAATACGTTGCTGATGGACATGGATTCAGAGCTGTTGTCAAGACCAACGAACCTGGTACCGCTCACAGTGCACCAGCCGCTGCTGTCATCGCTAGTCCATACGCCGCCCCAGCTGATATCGCTCATGCTGCACCCATCGCTCATGTTGCACCCATGATGGGACATGGTATTGCCGCTCCAATGATTGCTGCTGCTCCAGTAGCTTACGGGGGAGCTATTGGCCATGCTGGTCTTGGACTCGGATATGGTGCTGGTTTGGGCTATGGCAGGGGTCGGCAACCTTTTGAAATGAAAGAGCCAAAAGTTACAATTTTACAAAATTTCCCGCTTTTAAAGAGCCACTAAAAATTTTGATTTAATACTATAGTATTTTTTTTATGTATATTTGATTTTTAATTTAAAAAAAAACGGTTTTGAATACAGAATAATATTTATTCCTTATTTTTAAAATACGTTAATAATTTTTTTTAAAATTTAGTTTTCATTTAATTTTCAGTTTTTTTTTTAATTATTTTTTTTTCTTTGGGGGGGGGGGGAGATAAGAATACTTGGGTCATTAAAATTCAATGAAAATTGTAAATTTTCTTACTAATTCTTGTCAAATTTTCAGCAGAAAACGCGATTTTTTTTTTTGAATGTGCAACAAAACACAATCTTATCAGATAGATTTTATAATAATTTTTTTTAATTTTTCATAGCCATTCCGCAATAATATTCAATTATATTATATAGTTTATATTAATTTAATATTATATCAGAATTTTTTCACGATTTTCCTTTTTTAAGAAATATGTACCATCTATTCTTGTTATTGTTAAAAACAATTTTTAAGCACTTAATTATGAAACATTTAAGTAAATTTTAAATTTTTTTGTCAAAGTAAACGTTAAATCGACTTACGATGAAGTGCTAGAAATGATGGTCACATACTCTTTATATTTATTGTAAAAAAATTTTAAATTTATAGAGCCTCGAGCTTTCCAACTAAAATAACTTAAAATTTTTTGAAAAATTAATTTAATAAAAGTCACTGAAAGTAACGATCTTCTATTATTTTAAATATCTTTTATACGCAAAATTACAACATTAATGTATTTGAATATGCAATTTAATAATATGCAGGTGATTCGGAATGACCGCTCTTAATATGCACTTAAAGAAATTTAGTTTCAAGTGAACGCGAAAAAGAACGGATAGAGGTCACACGTTAGAATTTTAACAATCGAAAACAAATCACTGTTGAGTAAAGAGAGTGTAAAAAGGCGATTAACGATTTTTTATCAAATTAAATAATTTTATAAATTAAAAACTTTAACATTCACC